CCAATGCTTAGACCCCAAGAGGTAGATTCCTGCTGGGGACGCACGGAATCATTATAATATGAAGAATCCCAGTCATGACTTCTTGAATTGTTACTGCTGCCAACAGGGGTGCATGGATCACAAGGGGGTCTGGACCAATCTCCAGATAAAACCACAGGAAGCTAAAAGTTAGTGAGAAAACACTGCCTGGGAGGCAAGTAGTCCAGGATCAGTAGCACAATGAAAATAAAAGGTCTAGGGGTGAGAAGAACCACAGAAAGATGGGTGCGATTTCCAAGATGCACCGACATCCAGTCTGTTCACACTGGGTGTGCATGTGTATTTTAAAATACAGACATGCACATTTCAGAGTGTGCGGGCTGACCTTATACTGAGAAAGAACATTTCTATTCAAACAGGGTACTTTCGTTTTTCTCCTCAAAGAAACAGCATCAGCCATATCAAATCTTTTTTTTTATGCCACTAATTTAAGGCAAAATTGTTTCAAAATAGACAATACCGAGAGGCTGAAGCCAGTTCCTGCTTCCTCCTGTCCCCACCCAGGTGCTTCCGGCCGCACCAGAACTCCTTCTGTCGCATGCTCACAGGACGGAGGAGCCTTACCCAGAGGTGTGTGGATACGCACGGTGCTGTTTGTCAGGTGTTAGACTAGGCAGGGACGTGCAACACAGCTGTACTCTTTCCTTGAAGATGCAAAACCTAAACTCAGTGCTCCCTGGAGTGTGACCTAGGCAACTGACCTTACTCAGTTCTGTCTCTTGCTCATTTCTAGGACAATAACTCCTAGCACTGACACAAACGGCATCACCGCCTGGCACCCGGTCAGGTGCATTGCGCTCAGTTAACCCGGAAGCATACACTCCCGCAAGGCTCCAGGGAGGTATGCGAGGACAAGCGATCCATGGGGACGGCTCAGCTGTCCTCCCCAGCTTCCCACCTTGGAGCAGGACAGAGATCCCGGTTGGTATGTCTACAGCCCAGGCTGCACACACTGCAAAGGGTCAGAGTCCTGGATACGGTGCTTCCGCCAGGGAGTACCCTACATGTGCAGGCCCTCAAGTGCCCCAACGGACACCAGGCCTCTCGTGTCTATCAAGGGCACAGACAGAGTGAATGGCTATTTATAGTCTCTTCTTCCCTAAAACTCTGTGATGTGCCAAGAGATGCAAATGAAAACAGTTTTTTCCTCACCCAGACTGATAATGCTGCCACTAGTGTTGAAAACAGAGCCAGGTGTGGTTACACACCCATGTTGCATTGTTTTACTGTTTGGGCTTTTGGGGGGAGTCCCTAACACCAAGCTTCCCAGCAAAACACACACGGAGACTTATTCTTAGTTATGAATACCCGGCCTTAGCGTGGCTTGTTTCTTGCCAGCTTTTCTTAAATTATTCTGACTACCTTTTGCCTCTGGGCTTTTATCTTTCTATTTCTGTATACCTTTCTTCTTACTCCGTGACTGGTTGGGGGCGGGGCCACTGGCCCCGATGCCTCCTCTCCTTGTTCTCTTGCGCCTTGTTCTCTTTCCTCCCAGACGCGTCTATGAATTATACTCTTTGTCTGCCAGCTCCGCCTATCCTTGTTCCTGCCTTGCTATTGGCTGTTCAGCTCTTTATTAGGACATCAGGTGTTTTAGACAAGTACAGTAACAGCTTCACAGAGTTAAACAAATGCAGCATAAACAAAAGTCACACACCTGAAAACAATAGCCCCCAACACACCTGTGATCCCAGAACTTGGAAGCCTGGGGCAGGGCACCACTTGAGTTCAAGGCCTGTGGGGGAGTCTGGACTGCACAGAGAGACCTAGCTTCAAAAATATAATCATAACCTAATAACAAAACCAGAAACAACCCTGGGGAAAGGTAGCTCAGCAGATAAAGGCACATGTTGTCAGGCCTGGCCATCAGAATTTGTTACCTGGGACCCACGAAAGAATTGACTGCTGCAAGTTGACCTCTAACCTCCACATGAACATGGTGTCACATGTGTTCCCCCACAAACATACATACACACACATACATAGACTACAAAACTGGGATATTAAAAAGTAAAATGATAAAGTAAAAACAATAACATATATAAGGAAAATATTATTAATATATACAAGGATGACTCAAGAAAACAGTACTCATACACTGCTTGGAGGAGTTGTAAACTAACATAATCTTAAAAAAAAAACAGAAAAAAATTTTAAACACAAATAACTTTAAAGTAGGTTCAGAACATTTTAGATGCCTTCAGATTTGGAGCTTCCTATTAAGAATATAGTGTGTTGTCTAGGATACCAGGTATATGGAGGTGATGAGAAATGTGTGCTCTGGTGACCGGGAGCCCCAAACTCAATGTAACTGTAGAGAATACATAGCATCTACCTCTCCATCTCCCCTTTGTGAACTGCAGATGGCATGAAAACCTCCATCATGGGCTATGATAAAGACGAGATATGTGAATATTGGCAAAATCCTTAAAGGGATGCCCACCACTTGGTTGCTTGATTTATTATTGATATGCATAAAAATTCACAGCAGTAATATTGATTTCAAAACTTGCAAACAACTTAAATGTACAAATAGGTAGAAGCAGAAGCAGTGGAATCAATTAATAAACATGTCAGCTACCTAAGGAAACCACAAAACACAATTACATGAGAAATCACCAAGGGGCGGTTGAAAGAAAGGATAAAAAGCTGGATTATAAGGAGAACAGGTGCCTTAATTTTCAAATTGAAAAAAAAAATACAAGCACATAAACAAAGGAAAAAGACTATAAAGCACATGGTCACAATTCCAGATGATACTTTCTCTTGTATGACAGTCAATCTTGATTTTCAGCTTGGCAGAATCTAGGATCATCTAAATGACAGACATCTGGGCTTGTGGGGGGACGAGATTTCAGGACTGATTTACTGAAGTGGGATGGTCCCCTCCACATCTAGGTCTAGGTGACACCATTCTCTGGGGCCCCTCCACGTCTAGGTGACACCATTCTCTGGGTCCCCTCCACGTCTAGGTGACACCTTCTCTGGGCTACAATTCTAGATTGAATAAAAACAAAGCAGCAAATTGAGCACCAGCAATCCCCTCCCTGACCCGTTCTCTCCTTCCTGACTGCAGGTGCCCATTGACTAGCTACCCCACATGACTGCTACCAGACTTCTCCACTATACTGGACTGGGCCCTCCAAACTGGGAGCCAAAGCAAGCCCTTCCTTCAAGATTCGTTTGCTACTTGGTCAGAGCAATGACAAAAGCATCTGATAGACCTTGCTTTGTTTTTTTTTCCAATATATTCTAAAAGTTCTACCCAAGAAACATCCATTTTGTAAACAAGAACTCATCATAATGGTATAAAATTATTATTCTTTTAAAATATTTATTGTGTTTATGTGTTTTGTGTTTTACCTACATGTATGTGTGTGCACCATGGCCATATAATGCCTGCATAGTTCAGAAGAAAGTGTGGGATCCTCTGGAAATGAAAGTCCAGGCTGTTTTGAGCTATCTTCTGGATGTTCAGAACCACACCCAGGTCCTCCACGAGAGTAGCAAATACTCTTCACTCCCAAGCCATCTCTCCAGCCCTTAATTAGTATCCTTACTTCAGGGTTCTGCTCCTGACGTCTGAATGGCTACCAAGCTGCCATGCCCATTAGGGAAAAAATGAGCCATGTTCAGACAGACGAAAGCTGGCCTGGGGATGTAACTCAGTGGTGCGTGGCTTGCTTAGCATGCATGCCCTGAGCCCACTCTTTATTGTAAGATTCCTCTCAGATGCTTCAAGGCAGGGACATAAGACAGGTCGAAGACCACCATGCAGCTTTCACAATACTACTGGTACACCATGTTTGTGGCATCTAAAAGAATCTCCCTTTGAGGCTCTTCAGGGAATCTATCAAGAAGCCTTTACCAGTGAGCTGGCTCACAGTACTGGTTTCCATTTACTGAGCACCTCTCCCTGCAGGGCCTGCACCAAGAACAAGTTTTGTCATGTTCCTCCTCAGGTGCTGAGGGTGGCCTGTTCTGCAGATGAGAAACTAAGGCTCACAATGACTTCTTGGCCAAAGAGCAGAGCCTACTATGTGATAAGGAAGGTTTTATACCCAGGTCAAGCTCACTCATGTTCATACAAAGACCCAAAACGAATGAAATTGTTAATAGACAGACATGTGAGATTATCTACTTTGGGCAGAAATACTTTGAGAAAATTGATTTGGTAATGCAGCATGAGAAAAGCTAAAGTAAGGAGTGATCGTTCCTAACAAAATGCTACTGGAGAAGAGCATTAAAAATGAAAAATCAAGTGAACTAGACACAGGAATGAAAGACCCATCGGGTAGCAGTTTTCCTTGCAACTGTATATCAATATGGCTTTAATATAGGATACCACATTACTCACACACCACAAAAATGAACCTAAAATGCCCTGATTGGTCAGCAGTGAAAAATAAAGTAGGAAGTCAACTTAGCAATAAAAACAACAAAAACCATATATGCTGCAATTCCCTTCATATGGCTGATATTAAATTTCAGTGAGCTGCTTGGATCAATACAAACATTGTAATCTCAGTAAGGGTCCAATAAAGCCAGGAGAACATCCAACTTCTTCCAGACTTCATGTGGCCCACCAAGGTATTCATTCAGCTTCACACTGTGGCAATCATTTTTCTAACAATGCTTTATCTCTGTCCAGTGAACCACAGCGTCGCCCTGAGTAACCCTAAGAAGTTAGTGAGAACCTCAGAGTTGGGAACCCATCCTTTGCAGCCCCTGTGCTGAAGGTCTCACATCCAAAGATAAAGACGGGCCTCAGAGTCCCATGTGTGAAGAGTGCAATGCAGAACTGCTTTTCGTGGTCGCCAGAATGAAGAAAAGAGAGCAAGTAGGAGCATCCGTGCAATGAATGGGCAAACTTTGCAAGTTTAGGTTGATCAGTGACAGTCCCCAAAGGCTGTCTGTCTGTGTGTCTTTGGAAAACATAGTGCAGACCCTGGAAGACTTACCCTCACTGCCTCAGACTTCTTGTGAAACATTTCCTCCATGTTCTTAGCCAGCTTCTTCACCAGTTGGAGACCATCAATTTCTTCAATGGCAACATCTTTCTCATACTCCTTGTATTTCTGTAACGAGAGGGGCAGCATTAGAAAGAATTGACTCTAAGGGACCTCATGCATGATTTCCCCTGATGGATACAGAAATAAAACTTTATCAACACCATGTCTGTTGGGGTTGGAGATGGTAGGATACATTTCACAACTACAAAATCAAGCAGAGAGAAACATGAAAATTGAGTCTGGTTGTGGTGATATTTTGTTTGTGCTATAACGAAGTTTGCCTGTAGATCAGAGGGTAGAGCTAGCCACTACTTAGCCATAGAGGCCATTCAGTGGTGGCACACACCTTTAATCCCCAGCATTAGGGAGGCAGAGGCAGATAGATTTCTATGAGTTCAAGGCTACCTTGGGCTACACTAGATTGATCCAGTCTCAAAGAGAAACAGCCAGGCAGTGGTGGCTCACACCTTTAATCACAGTACTTGCGAGTCACATGTCTTTAATCCTAGCTCTAGGGAGGTGGAGACAGGAAAGGTATTGGCTGGGCAGAGAGGAATATGAGGTGGGAGGAGACAGGAACCCAAGGCGTTCGGTCTGAGGACTTGTAGAGACAGGATACCCCATTTAGTCGGAGGATTTCATAGAAGTAAGAACTAGTGGCTGTCTGCTCTGCTTCTCTAATATCTGACTATGGGTTTTTATTATTAAGACCAATTAGAAATCGTACTACATTGGCTCTGACTGGAAGCTGAAGCATCACCCAGGTAAGGAACTAATCAAATTTGGCTAATCAAATTTGGTCACATTTAAGGAATGCCCTAGGGTGCTGATTGGACTTGATTTCATCATCTTCTCAATTGAAGATGGCCTTTTCTATAAGAATCCATTACACACGGAAGACCAGATCATCGGGTTAAGCAAAATAAGATGTGCTCAGCCTAGTGTTGGCCTGCTGGCCTGGGGTGGAGCTCAGATAGCCTGGTGCTGGCCTGGGGGTGGAGCTCAGAAAGCCTGGTGCTGGCCCAGGGGTGGAGCTCAGAAAGCCTGGTGCTGGCCCAGGGATGAAGCTCAGATAGCCTGGTGATGGCCTGGGGTGGAGCTCAGAAAGCCTGGTGCTGGCCTGGGGTGGAGCTCAGTGACTGGTTGCTTGCTTAGCATTTGCATGGCCCTGGATCCTAATACATATTTTCCCTCGATGTGGAGCCTGTAGTTTGTTTTGTTTCTTTCTTTTGGAACATGAAAGCAGAAAGAGACATGTGGGAAGAGAAGAGAGATTAACAGGAGGGAGAGGGGAACAATAGGGAGCCATAGGATGAATACGATCAAACTATAATATCACAATGCAGCTAAGAAAATAGCTCACTCAGAAAAGTACTTGCTATGCAAGCACAAGAATTTGAGTTCCCTCTCCAGAACTCAGATGAATAATAATGATAAAGAAGAGGGAGGAGGAGGGTGAAAAGAAGGAAAGGAAGAGGAAGAAGAAGAGCAGCAGCAACAGCTACCCCCATTGCCACCACTACCACCAGGCAGAGGGGCATGCACTTGTAATCCCACCACTACCGCCAGGCAGGGTGGCACACGCTTGCAATCCCACCATTTGGGAGAGGAAGACAGACCATGCAAGCCCCAAAGAAGCCTTAAAGAAGAAGAAAACGAAAAATAGGAAAAGAAACCAAGGTAGAAGGTGGCTATGGTTTCCTCTGACTGTGCACACAGGTACATGCTCACTTGCTGTACTAGTGGCTTCTTGTTGTTGTGATAACAAGACAAGATCAAAAGAATAAAAAGATTTCTTTCAACTCCATTTCCCCATGGCAATCCATCATTGAGGGAATCGGGACAGGAACTTGAGCAAGAATTGGGAAGCAAGAGCTAATGACAAACCATGGAAGGTGCCGTTTGCTCGCTTGTTCTCTCTTCTGCTCAGCTTGCTTCCATACATAACCCACGACCACCACCCCAGGGGAATCACCGGCTCTGCTCCAGCAACTAGCAATCAAGAAAATGCCACAGTGATAGGGGAAATTCCTCAATTGAGTCTCCCTCTTCTCAGGTGTGCCAAGTTGACAACCAAGATAAGCCATTACGCCAGTACACATGGAGACTGCTAGGAGGAGGAGAGTGAGCAGTAGGGAGGCAGGCAGGACCAGGATGCTGGGAGGAGGAGAGTGAGCAGCAAGGCAAAGGGCCAGGATGACAGCAGTGGCCTCCAGAAATTATCTGACCACTGGAGCCTCAGTCTCAGTGCAGCCAACACCAAGAGGAATGACCATCTGACCCTTGGGACCATAGGTACCTGGAGGAATGTTCACTGATGGTTATACTCTGCCTATACGTGAAGGAACAATCAATAGAGCCACAGTCCCCAACTGGAGAAAACTGGACTCCACCAACTGGAGGCAAAAGGAACCCCTCTCTCCCGCCAAAACATAGACTCTACTTATTCCAATTGGAGGAAGAGATGGGTAGACAATAGGCTAAAAATACACTCAACAACATAAAGAACAAGACAGCACCACCAAAAACTAGTGTCTCTACAACAGCAAGACATGAACATCCCAAGGCAGATGGATCAGAAGAAAAAGACCTTAAAAATAACTTTATGAAGATGATTGAGGCCCTTAAAGAGGAAATGAAAAGTTCTCTTAAAGAAATGGAGGAAAAGGCAATCAATAAACTGAAAGAAATCAACAAATCCCTTAAAGAAAACCCAAAAAAGTAACCAAATAGATGAAAGAAATGGTTCAAAACTTAAAAATTAAAATAGAGGCAATTTTTAAAAAGCACAAACCAAAGGAAATCTGAAAATGCAAAAACCGGGTAAACAATCAAGAACATAAAAACAACAAAAACAATACAAAATAATCAATGAGACAAGGAGTAGGTTCTTTAAGAAAATCAACAAAATAGACGAAACTTTATCCAAGCTAACTAAAAGGCAGAGAGAGAAAACTCAAATCAACAAAATTAGAAATGAAAAGGGGGGGAAACTTGATTGCTCTTTGGGCTAATGAGGGAGGGGGACTTGATTGGGGGAGCGGGAGGGAAATGGGAGGCGGTGGCGGGGAAGAGACAGAAATCTTTAATAAATAAAAAAAGAAGTATAAGAAATGAAAAGTGGGACAGTAGCAAATAATAATAAAAAAATAAAATAAAACCCAACTGGATAACAAAATCCAAAAAAAGAAGAAATGAAAAGGGGATATAACAATAGACATGGAAGAAATCCAGAGAATCATCAGATCATATTTCAAAAACCTATACTCGACAAAATTGGAAAACTTAAAGGAAATGACCAATTTTCTGGATAAGCATCACTTACCAAAATTAAATAAAGACCAGATAAGAAAATTAAATAGACCTATAACTGCTAAGGGAATAGAAACACTCATCAAAAGTCTCCTAAACAAACAAACAAAAAGCCCAGGACCAGATGGTTTTCAAAGAAGAACATATACCAATACTCCTCAAATTTTATACTTATACCAATTTTCAAAGAACTTATACCAATACTCCTCAAATTTTTCCAAGTAGAAACAGAAGGAAAATTGCCAAACTCTTCTTACAAGGCTATATTACCCAGACACCCAAACCACACAAAGACACCACTAAGAAAAAGAAACACAGACCATCTCACTCATGAACATTGATGCAAAAATACTCAATAAAATATTGGCAAACTGAATCCATGAACACATGAGAAAAATCTTCCACCATGATCAAGTAGGCTTCATCTCAGAGATGCAGGGATGGGTCAACATATGAAAATGTATCAATATAATCTACCATATAAACAAATTGAAAGAAAGAAAACCCCACATGATCATCTCATTGGATGTTGAAAAAGCTTTCAACAAAATTCAACACCCCTTCATTATAAAGGTCTTGTTAAGAGCAAGAATATAAGAATATACCTAAAAATTATAAAGGCAATATACAGAAAACCAAGAGCCAACATCAAACTAAATGGAGAGAAACTCAAAGCAATTCCACTGAAATCGGGAACAAGACAAGGCTGTCCACTCTCTCCATATCTATTTAATATAATTTTTGAACTTCTAGCTAGAGCAACAAGACAACAAATGGAGATCAAAGGGATACAAATTGGAAAAGAAGAAGTTAAACTTTAACTATTTGTTGGTGATATGATAGTATATATAAGTGACCCCAGAAATACTACCAGCGAACTTCTACAACTGATAAACACCTTTAGTAATGTAGCAGGATACAGTACTAATTAAAAAAAATCAGTAGCCCTCCTATATTCAGACAATAAATTGACTGAAAAAGCAATCAGAGAAACAACATCCTTTACAATAGCCACAAATTACATAAAATATCTTGGGGTAACTCTAACCAAACAAGTTAAAGACCTTTATAACAAGAGCCTCAATCTTTGAAGAAAGAAATCGAAGAAGACATCAGAAAATGGAAAGATCTCCCATGCTCTTGGATAGGTAGGATTAACATAGTAAAAATGCAATCTTACCTAAAGCAATCTACAGATTAATTCCAATGCCTAGCAAAATTCTTCATAGACCTCAAAAGAACAAAGGAAAAACAAAAAACCCAGGATAGTCAAAACATCCCTGCAAAATAAAGGAACTTCAGAGATTTCAAACTCTGCTACAGAGCTACAGTAATGAAAGCAGTTTGGTATTGGCATAAAAACAGACAGGAGGATCAATGGAATTTAATCAAAGGCCCGGGTATCAACCCACGCACCTCAGAACACCTGATTTTTGACAAAGAAGCTAAAATTACAAAATGGTAACAAAAGGAAGCATCTTCAACAAATGGTGTTGGCATAACTAGGTATCAACATATAGAAAAATGCAAATAGATTCATATCTATTGCCATGCATAAAACTCAAGTCCAAGTGGATCAAAGACCTCAACATAAAACCAAGTACACTGAACCTCATAGAAGAGAAAGTGGGAAGTACACTTGAACGCATTGGCACAGGGAACCACTTCCTAAATATAACCCCAGTAGCACAGACACTTCTGTAAGCAAATGACACAGTCAACAAGACAAACAGCAGCCTATCAAATGGAAAAGA